TCTAAACTGAAGAGAACACCCACAGAGTGGGAGAAAATATTTGCCAGCTACACATCAGACAAAGGACTGATAACCAGAATATATAGGGAACTTAAAAAACTAAATTCTCCCAAAATTAATGCACCAATAAAGAAATGGGCAAGTGAACTAAACAGAACTTTCTCAAAAGAAGAAATTCAAATGGCCAAAAAACACATGAAAAAATGCTCACCATCTCTAGCAATAAAGGAAATGCAAATTAAAACCACACTAAGATTCCACCTCACCCCTGTTAGAATAGCCATCATTAGCAACACCACCACCAACAGGTGTTGGGGAGGATGTGCGGGAGAAAGGAACCCTCTTACACTGTTGGTGGGAATGTAAACTAGTACAACTACTCTGGAAAAAAATTTGGAGGCTACTTAAAAAGCTAAACATTGATCTACCATTTGATCCAGCAATACCACTCTTGGGGATATACCCAAAAGACTGTGACACAGGTTACTCCAGAGGCACCTGTACACCCATGTTTATTGCAGCACTACTCACAATAGCCAAGTTATGGAAACAGCCAAGATGCTCCTTCCTTGTTCTTTCTTCTCTTTTTTATGTAGTGCTGGGGATTGGCCCCAGGCCCCTGGGCCTTGCATATGTTAGGCCACTGAGCTACATTGCCAGACCTCACATTAATTTCAAATCACAATGAAGAGGGTATGAAAAGTCTGGATTTGAGAAACACTGCTTTAAGATAAGATTTGTTATGCTCACATCGACAGCACATATACTAAAACTGGAACAATACAGAGAAGATTAGCATGGGTATTGTGCAAGGACAACATTCAAATTTGTGAAGTGTTCCATTAAAGAAAAAGTTTTTTTTTTTTTTTTTTTTGGCGAAAGAGGCAAATATAATCATGTGCTGCCTAAATACATTTCAGTCACCAAAAGACTACATACAAAGGTGGTCCTTCAAGATTATGTCACCTACTGATGTAATAGCCATGTTAGTTTGTGTAAGAACACTATGAAAGCTGGGCATGGTGGTGCACTTCTATAATCCCAGTACCAGGGAAGTTGAGGCAGGAAGATTGCAAGTTGGAGGCCCACCTGGCCTCAGAGTGAGTTCAATACCAGCCTGAGCTACAGAGCAAGACCCCATCTCAAAAAAAAAAAAGGGGGAAGGAGGGCGCTTGGGGCATGACTCAAGTGGTGTGGTAGAGTGCCTGCCTAGAAAGCAAAGACTGAGTTCAAACCCTAGTACTGCAAAACGAATAAACAAATAAGCCAGGCACCAGTGGCTCACGCCTATAATCCTAGCTACTCAGGAGGCAGAGATCGGGAGGATCATGGTTTGAAGCCATCCCGGGCAAATAGCTCTCGAGACTCTATCTCAAAAAAACCCAACATAAAAATGGGTCTAGTGGAGTGGCTCAAGGTGTTCAAACTCCCATACTACAGTAAATAAATAAATAAATAAATAAAATCATTGTAGGACTAGGGAAGTGGCTCAAATTGTAGAGTACCGGCTTACCAAGTGCAAGGCCCTAAGATCAAACCACAATATTGCTCCCCCAAAAAGATATTCTCATTCTCTCTTATTCTCTCTCTCTACACACACACACACACACACACACACACACACACTCTCCCATGTATATCTATATGGACACTCTATGATGTCTATGCACATGATGAGATCAACTAACTAGGTATTTCTCAGACTGCATCACCACTGTTAAGTGACATATGACTATATTTCTCAGCTCATGTATTTATGAAACTTCTGACTCCATTTGTATTAGCTACTTGTTTCTTGACAGCACTGATCACAAAAACATGTGAGTGCTTAGCACATGCTGAGCAATATTCAAAGTGCTTTGTGTCTATTAACTCAAAAATCCTTACAACTCTATAAGCCAGGTGGAATTACCTCTACCTAACAAATGAAGAAAGTTTTCATAGTTTAGTTGGTGTTGAACTCAGAATTCTGGCATATACCCAATGTTATTTCTCCATTTTACTTAGAAACTGTCCTTTTCAATTTTTTACTTGTTCACTTCTGAGTTACCTAATGGCATGCTCCTTCTCAGAAGCAACCAGACAGTGCTTGCTTCTACCAGGTAGGCAAATCCAAGTAAGTGATTGATTCTCTCCTCCCTTGGTAGATCTATGCAGCAAAGGATCAGTAAGTGGAATGGGGGTGGTGGGGAGGGACACTAAAAGTAGCTAGGCTTCCCAGTTTCCTCATTGGTAACTTGCGGGATTCCTGAAATTAGTTTTTTTTTTTTTTTTTTTTGATATTGGGGAACTCAGGGCCTCACTCTTGCTAGGTAGGCGCTCTACCACTTGAGTCATACCTCCAACCCTTTTTGCTTTTATTTTTCAAACAGAGACTCACTTTTATGGCCTGGTCAGCCTGGATCATAATACAATTTATGCTTCCAGAATCACTGTAATGAGTAGCACCACCATACCTAGCTTTTTAATGGCTGAGATGGGATCTGGGGAATTTTTTGCCCAGGCTGGCCTCAAACTGCTATCCTCCCAATTGTTGACTCCCAAGTAGCTAGAAGCTACTGTATTTGGTTAAAATTAAATTTCGAACAGATGTTCTACAATTTCTAACACATGTCTGAGCACACACAATTTACATACACATGTTAGAAAAAATTTTCAATAGTTTCTAAAGGGTATAAATTTTTTTCTTTTAATTTTTTTGAGACAGGGTTTTACTAGGTAGCCCAGGTTGGCCTTGAACTCATGACCCATCTTCAGCCTCTCAAGTGCTATGATTACAGGTGTACACAACCATTCCAGCTGGGTAGAGATTTTTTTTTTAAGTCTTTTTCCCTACTTCCTGGAAACAAATAGTCAATGTTGTAATTTTCAATTATAAATTATGTTTATAATTATGGTAGGCATTGTAACTTTAAATTTATACCTCTATTAACTTTAGATTATTTATTTACTCATTTTTTTTTTTAGGTGCTAGGGACAGAACCCAGGGTCTTGGGGCATGCTAGGCAAGTGCTCTACTACTGAGTGATACCCACAACTCCTGAATTATCTTTTGAGTCTCAACTATGAAAAATGAAGAGCATCCTCACTGTTCTATTACCTTTACTTCACTCATCATCACCCCATTTTCATTATATTATTTTTCAGCTGTCAAGTTAACAACCTGCACTTCATGATTCTCAGATTTGTCTCTGGAGGATTTTAAAGTTTATGAACTAATACACATCATTTACAGTATTGAGTAAGTACCTAGATTTCACTGGTGAACTAACTATGGATGGATTCAAAGAAGGGTAAATAGTCCATGTCTACAAAGCTAGTAATTTAACAGATCAAGCAAATGAGCCAAATAACCAAATAGGCATTTAATAATTTACTGGGCACTTAGTATGTTGACAGACACACACCAAGCACTGTACATACACTGCCTTATTTAATCCCCAAAACAACTATATAAGGAGGAATTATTACTAGCCCAATTTTGCAAACAAAAGCTAAGGTTATATACTTGCCCAAGCACAGCAGGGACTTGAATTCAGGTGTGGCCCCAGGACCTGAACTCTTCATCACTATACTGCTTGCTCACACTAACTATTCTTTCACTTTCTTTTTCTTGACAATGTCTAATTAATGCCCTGAATAGCATAGAGAGTGTGCTATTCAACACAGCATAGATTAAAATCATTCTGTCTAGATATTAAACTTATTTTGAGCTACCTGTTTTCTACCAAATGGTACTAAAAAGACACTACATGGAGTCTTTCTACTCACCAAATACGGGAAGCATTGAAAACCATGCTTTATGGCCATTTCTCACAATGCAGTATATAGAAGCAAGAAAGAGGTGTAAGTGTGGCCTTTTCTGTTTACAAACTAAAAAACCACAAAATAGAACATTCAATAGTCTAAAATAGCAAAATTCTTTAATACGAATAAAAACATAAAAATGAAACAGTTATTGTCTCTTACCTTTGATCATAATTTTGAACTGAGGTGAATTAAAAGAGTTACTCCATTATTCAATATTATACCATTTCTTGCCACATTTATACATTATGTACTGTCATAGTGGACCAGTTTCATTCAAAGTTATCTTTAACACTTTTGTTAAAATTTACAGGTGAATAAAACTTCATTTATAGGCCAACTCTATGATTTTTCAACAAGGCAACTGCCTGTCTTTGCCAAGGCAAATTACTCAAAAAACAAAACAACAAAATACTCTCTTGGACCAAATTTAAATCAGGCCCTTCTATCATGAAAGTCCCTATGGCAAGAGGTCAAAGGTCGGGCTTACAATCATAACCTAAACCCTGGCACTATTTCAGTTCATTAACTGAAGCTGTTCTTCAGCAATAGCTAACAACGCAACCTCACCCCCAACTCAGAAGCCGCCTGTAACTCTAGGCGCCCCTACACAGATCGGGCTAAAAAGGGCTGTGAGACTCAAGAACCACTACATAGCCGAGACTCTGATCCATCTCCCAGCTTCCCAAAGATGTCTTGGGCTCTGCACACACTTGAAAGCAGGCACTTTTCGTTTTTCTTTTTCGTCACTCCCTTACAGCACCGAGCTTTGGTATCTTTGTACCAGGACCGGCAACAGTTCCTGGCACAACGGAGTCTCTGAATGACCTCCGTGGAACTGACCCCAGGTCAAGTAAGAAGGAAATCTGAAAGGGGGCGTCTTAGTTGCGAGGTCAGGGGGTCAGGAACTCTTTGGAGAAGGTGAGATAGAGGGCCTACCCAGGCCACAATGGAACTAAGGGGTCTGGGGAAGACAGAGGCGAGCATTACAGCCCACCTTCCTTAACTCTTGATTGTGCGAGCTGTGAAGAGAGCCAGGCTTTCGCCTCGGATTCAAGCCGGCCTCCGCCTTCTCTCTTCCCAGCTCCCGCTCTGCTTTAGCCCCAGACTAAACTCAAGCCGCTTCTCCTAGCTCCAGGCCGAACCATGACAGGGCACTTCGGGTGGACCACAGGAGGCCCCGGTTCACTCACCTACTTGGTACAGTCGGCCCTCTGGCGAAAAAATGGTAATGTGGCGGTCAAAACCAGCGCTGGACCCACGGGACATATTGGTGCACCTACTACTTCAAGCAGTCTCCGTGCCCTGTAGCTCCCGCACTAGGTGTACAAGCCCCTCCCGGAAGTTGCAGCAACTGCTTCCGGGGCACCGGCCGGGGTCCTTCCGGTCTGGCACGCCAAGCTGACGGGTCCTCTCGTGGGTTCGAGCGAGGAGTGTTCCAAGGCCCCGCCCCGAATGGGGGCAGGGCACTGAGCGCTAGAGGTCTCGAACGTGCGCTTGCGTCAGACGTGCGTCTGAGCGGCTTTTGAAGATGAGGTGAAACTTGGGTCGTGGCGTTTTAGGCCTTTCATCCGGAGAATGAATTGACTGAAGCCAGAATGGAGGATGCCTTTTGGAGGCCCAGAGTAGTGATTCGCCTATCACTATGACCTAAGTGGACCGTGAAATCAACACGCTCTCGTTAGTTTTTGCTCCTTGTATCATTCTGACTCGAGTGTTTTGTTTTCTTCCTAACCTCACTTCCCTTCCAACGACCGGGGCGGGGGGGGAGGGGTGGAGAAGGAGTGCAGCTTCAGTATCCACAAATTACATGTAGGTACTGAAGAGGTAGGTTCTAGTAGCTACCTTTTTTTTTTTTTTCCTTGTAAGTGGAATTGAAGTTGAAATACGGGTAATGAGGGAATTCTGAAGTTGAGCAGTTTTGATTGGTAACGAACAGGAAACCGAACAGATGAGGCTTATAGCAAGCAGGCTAGTGTTGGATGGATTAATGAGAGTAATTCCTAGTAGGCGAGGTCGCTCGGGAAAAGTTGGCTTTTTTTTTTTTTGCGCCTGTCTTGACTTTACCCCAAGGCACACTTCTGTTTCATGAATATAAAACGCAAAATATGTTAAGCTAATCTCCCCCGCCCCCAGATAAAAGTTTGTGCACTACACCAAGATCTGTGACACTTTAATGCCTCTGTAATACGAAAATAGAAATTCAGATTTCTAATGTACTTTCTCCTAAACTCATTTTCCATTTTAAAGAAAAAATTTGTAAGAAGAGAGTTTTCGTAAGGAAACTAATTTCTAAAGTCTTTTTTTAATTTTAAAAAGTGCAATCTTAAAAATAGATTTCTATTCTATTAACCTATAAAAAGAAAATCCAAAACTGAAACAGTTAAGAAAAGTAAATGCCAACAGCAACTCTGGAACACAGGGTACTTTCCAGCTCTGATTCCCAAATGCTGATAAGAGTTGTCTCTTGCTTCTGATCCCTGCTTTTTAGGATCAACTCCTGACCTTTTGAGTACTTTTGTTTTCTCAGACTCTGGCAGAGCCTGGTGTACTGTAATCCCTGTGCTTAGCCTGAATAGTCATGGATAAAGAGTTCTCTGTAAAACTGCTAGGAGGATGAGCTCATTTAGTCCCTCTGCCTGTTTGTATCCTGTGTCTCCCAAATTTAGGTCTCAAACTGGACCCTTCTTTGGAGGTGAATCTTCTCTAATTGCCTTTGGATATTTTTCACATTAAGACACATAGTATTTGAAACCCAAAATATGCTTAAAACAAAATTCCTCATTTCATCTCTTCCTTCTCAAGCCAGTTCCACACACATTCCAAGTACTCAAAGCCAAAACCTTGCAAGTCTTAATTGCCCAGTACTTCCCACTGTCTCCATATGCCCCTGATGTCTTACGCTCTTTTCTTTCTGTCATAATTCATAATTTTATTCACTGTTTACTTTCCCTCCACCCCTACTCTAAGCTCCATGAGGGCAAAAATACTTTGTTCATTGATACAGCTCAACTTGGATAATGCCTAGCATATATTAAGAGCTTGATAAATATTCATTGAATGAATGGATCACAACATACGAGTTAGCAATGCATTGTTTTATATAACCTGAATTTAAACTCTGTTTCTGACAATCCAGGTATGTGATCTTACATAATCTCCTTAAATATAGATTCTCTTACCTGTTAAATTTGGATAATGTTGACTATTATGAAGATTAAATGAATGAAGGCAGGAAGTATTTCACAAAGAACCTAGTGAACAATAACTACTCATTAAATTGTGGCCATCATTACTGACGCTTTCCCAAGCATGTTACTGAATGCTGATTGTTCCTATGAATGACTCTCCTGCCTGCTTTTTATTCACCCTGTCACTATGTAAATTTAGAATCCCTATATAGTTTACTTTGGCACAGTAGACTTTTTTTTGTTGATTATCCACAACTCTTGATATCATTTTTTTAGAGCAACATCTCATTGGGTTGTCTCTCTGCCTAGATTTTTTTTGGGGACTCCCCACTAACTACTGACTATAATCCGGTTTAAGTTAGCATTCAAAATGTTGACAAATTGATCTATTTTTTCAACTTCTACTTCATTCTCCTATTCTTGGCTTTACTTCACAGCACTTCTCTGAGCAGCACTGCCTGATCACTGCTTAAGCTCCCCCACACCCCTTTCTCCTATAAGGACTGTCCATTCCTATCTCCTAAGAAACCCAAATCTGCCAATCTGTCTCTTTCTTCTTTTTATGCCCAGTGCATATAAACTGAATCTTTTATTAGCCTGAACCAAATGAGAAATGAGATGGCTTTTTTTTTTTTTGTGCTGGGGGATTGAACCCAGGATCTCACACATGCTAGGCAAGCACTCTACCACTTTAACTACGCCCACAGTCCAAGATAGCCATTTTCATAGGTAAAATATTGGCAATTATATGATTTGAAGAGTTGTATGTCTTGAGCTTCACCAAAGATTGGCAAGGCAGAGTCTGGGCACTTTGCATCATTCTGTTCTCCAATACTCCTAGCATGGGACTTGGCTCATAGTATTTCAATAAATGACTGAAATTAAAGTGCAAACTGTAGAAAAGGAACAACTGAGAAATGTTTCCTAGCTGTAATCCTTTGCTTCCTATGTAGACATGGAAATTCATGTATATTCACTGCCTTATAATGATGGGATGTTTCAATAACATACCCTGTAGCTTGTGAGAATTCATTCAACATATCTTGATCTCCTTTTCAGAAGGTTGTATTTAAACTAGGCTCTGAAAGAAGTGTAGGATTTTGGATGGCATGTACATTTTAATACTCTTAGTATACTTCCTGGAAGGAATCAACTTCATCTTCAATATAAATATACTTTCAAAACTAGAATCAGAACCCCAGTCTCCTTAGGGGCAGGGGCCATCTGTTTTGCTCAACAGTTTATCCTCAAACCAAACAGTTCCTAGCATGAAGTAAGCATTGGATCATTCATAGAATATACATTCTTACTACTTAGGCCTGTTAATGTTTGTTTTACTTAATTTGAGAAGACTTGTGACTAAATGAGAAATCCAAATTTGAGATTTTTCCACATAGGCAAATAAATTCCTCTGGGAAATCTTTCCAAAAGACAAAACTTTGCTGATTCCATTGCTAAGGGAAATCCCCTGGAAGCAGGCTTCATATGTGCTATTGGCAACAGCTAAACTACTCAGCCAGGTGGACTTCCCCGAGTTGGGAAGCTTTCACTGAAGTCTGGGCACCAACTCCTGCAGCTTTAGCACACACTTGTGGGGGCAGATCTTCTGTGCCTGTGTGGAAAGTTTGGTCTTCCTCTCTGTGGGGCGACCAAGTTAGACTTTTTGAAATGACTTTCTGGGTTTTTGAAAAATTTTAGAGATGACTTGACATCTCGTGAGTCTTGGAAAATCTCTTGGGGGCCTCGTTTGTCAAGGCCCATATTCTCTCTGGGGGTGGAAGAAGGGTTACCCACAGGCAAAGGTAAAAAGTGGCAGTGTAGATTCCCAGTGACTGCAGATATGCTAAATCGCATGCTGTTTAAAAGCAAGATGAGAATTTAGCCCTTAAGATGCTCTGCTGGCAGTTTCAGTGAGCCAAAGAATAGGAAAATGATGCCTGTTTCCATGTGCTATTAGCAGGTGTTGAAACACAATGCCCCATGGATTGGTGATACAGTATTTTAGGAGAGTTGGGATTCCCAATGGACAACTGTGGCCAGTACAGAGTTAGGATGTAGCAGCTCTGGCTGAACTGAGAGAGGTAGGACTCTGTTCAGCTCCCTGACCAGACTCTCACAAATCCAGAGTCTTCTGAGAATACTTCCTGACGGCAAGAACCTGATCCTATGAATCTTCCCATTTTTAATCGTTCTCAGATCAATCCCAGTCCTGAAGCTCTTCTTGCACCTCAGTAGCTTGGTTTGGTTACCTAAGGAGTGTGGTAATTATGAGTAAGTCTTATAGAAGGAGAAGAAGGTGATTTCTCTGTACTGTAGGTCTATAATTTATGGGCAAAGGAGAGGGATGCCAAATGTGGGCTGGGTGTGATTTCTGTAACTTAATGAGGCAACTTCATTCTGATTCTACTTATAAGTCCTTTAACCCCCTACCTGACCAGATTCCAATAAAGCAATGCTTCCCAGACCCATTGTCCATAACATCTAGTGTGGTTCTCTCACTCTCCAGTATCAATTGGGTGGGTATAATAGAGTGTCTATCAACATAGCACTCACACAGGTATCTTTATTTCCCTTCTGTGTATCCCCTTTCTTACCAGCCAATATAATTCTGTGCTCAGTTCAAAAGACATTTAAATATAACTATCCATGAACCCTTTATACAGAGCCCAAACATTTAGCTTTTCAGGTCCCCCTTGATTTTTAGCTATAGCAACTTCAGAATTTCCTCTTATAACTTTTTATGTTTTTCTAAACCCTGCCTTCAAGGAAGATCCAGTGTTCAGGTTGGATCTTTTGGAAGCCAAGGACTTTGTGAAACACTGAGAATTTTCACAGGTCTTCCCAGAATACTGGATGAAGCAGTGGAAGACCCCAGTTGGCTTGGTTTAACTGTGGGTGGTTTAAACACATAACTTCCCCTTAGGCATGATAACACCAGAAACCCTTCATAGCTTTAGAGGACAGCAAATGTTCCAGTGAAAAATAAGATGAGTGAGACAAAGTCCTGAGCTTTGAACAGGGTCTGGCTCTGCTCTAGTCATCAGAAGCATTGAGTTTGAATCTAAGCCTTGTTGCAGACTGCCTGGTGACCATAACCTTGGTTTATTCTTCTCTCAGGGAAGTATTCTGTACCCCTTTAAAGGCATCAAGTTAAACAAACAAAAACAACTACAAGTAGACTTAAACTCAGCTTCTCTTTGTGAAAGGAGGGGGTACTGGTGAATAAGGCCTTAGTTGTTGGCCTTATTTTGCTTTGATCTATTCCTAGTAAAGAGTGAATCCAAGGATTGCCTTGGATTTATTCAGAAGTGAAACTCTGTCTTCCTAATTTGGAAGCAGCAAGTTCTTACCCACCCTGTCCCACATATACAGCCTTACCCATGAATGTGGACAGGGGGATGGGACTGCCAAGTATCTTACCAGTTCATTAAAATTTTCACACCCATGGTGCTTCCCTACATCTTCAGATCTTTAAGAATTTTATGTAAACTTTGTTCACTCTGCTTTTCCCCTACCCTGCACCAGGAGAGTGAGTCAAGAACAGAGAGG